GTGACCCTGTATAGGTTTCCAAGGCTGTAAATCTTTACGGGAGCAGAAAGCCTCGTCTTTCTCCAATGGGACTACTGGTAGTTTTGAACTACTGACCTTGAGGTTGGCAGCCCGACTCGTAACCACTATGTTACCAGAGCTTCTTACTGTTTCATATAGGATAAGTATTCCCTGGCTTACAATGTAGTCAAGTTACAATGAACCACATCTCTGAGCTCTGACAGTCTTTTTTAGGGGAGTACCGTGGTGTGGCACTGTAGGTTAATGCGCCACACTGCAAAGCCATTTGAACGGCAAGGTTGGCAGTTCAAGCTCACCTGTTGCTCCTCAGAAACCCCATACAGAGTCACTGTGGGTCGGAACCACCTCGACAGCACTTAACAAAAACAACATATTATAAATACATAAAATGTTGCAGCACATAGTTTGCTGATGTCATCATTCTCAGATGTACACTTGTAGACGTTCAATGCTATGATTTATAAAAATACTGATAATAAAAGGCAATAATAATGAAAACTTTAAAAAAAAAAGTTATTTTTGACTTAATCAAAATCGACTTCGTCCGGGACTGCCTGTACTCAACATAAATTTTTCAGATCAACTCAAGACTCAGGAACTGTCTTCTAAGTGGAGCCCCTGGGTGGTACAAACAGTTAACATCTTCAGCTACTAAACCAAGAGTTGAAGATTCAAGTCTTAACACCCTCAGCTGCTAACCAAAGGTGTGAAGATAGAGGCCACCCAGGACTCTTCAGAAGAAAGCCGTGCAATCCACTTCTAAACCATCAGTCACTGAAAGTTCTCTGGAGCACAGTTGTACTCTTGATGCCCATAGGGTTACCATGAGTCACAGTTGACTGATAGCAACTGGTCTTTTGGTTCTCCAGGTGGTGAGTAGGAAAGATGTGATGTAACGAGAAATACAGTCTTCCTCCTTTACTCCGGTGCCCACAGTGAATACAGGTTGAAGCAAAGATGGTTTGTCCAGGTCTGGGCTGATAAGTCCACACAGCTTCATCTCTTTACTGGGCACTGCAAGCCAGGCCGGGCCTCTGCTTCACAGGCCACCAGCTCCTTGACTTTATTCCCCCAGAAGCAAGTAGTTAAGGCCTACACAGGGCCCTGAGCAGATTCAGACTCCCCCCGCACTGCAAGAGCACAGCCAGTTCCATACAGACATGCCTGACCTGCGTGTTCCTGATTTAAAGCCATGTGTAGGGCAGGAAGAGCGAGTTGCCAGGACAATCCCTAGATCTGAAGTTATCCAAACTCCCATACAAAATCACCTAGGGGAGCTTAGTATTGTTAAGTTTTGTCAAGTCGGTTCCAACTCATAGTGACCCTGTCCACAGTTTCTGAGGAGCCTCTGATAGGCTTGAACCATCAATTTTGCGGTTAGCACTCCAGTGCTTATCCTATAATGCCATACTAGGACTCAGCATGCAGAATTCAGAAACCATTAAGAATGCATCTCACTGGATCAGAACTGATTCTGATCCAAGGTGAACTACACTGACCTCATGCCTCTTTGACATCACTGTTAAAGAAATAGAAGCCTGTACTCTTCTGTTTCAGCTGCAAGAGAGAGGGAGCTCTGTTTTTCTTTGAGTATGATCTTTCCTTTCCTTTCCTACTTTTTTTTTGGAACCAGGACTTCAGTCTAGTTTGACCCTCTGCTGAGAGCATATATATATATATATATATATAGCATGGAAATGCCTATTCTCAACAGTGTGCCCAGCAGGGACTGTGATGCCGAATACTCCCAGGGTTCCTAGCTGCTTCCCAAACTCCCGAAGGTTCTTCAATTCATTGCTTTGATCAATCTCCTGGGCCTTAGGGGCCAGGTGCTCCTGAAGGAATTCAAACATGCAATGAAGATGTATTGCTCATTACTGGTGATTGGAATGCAAAAGTAGGGAGCAAAGAGGAGGGTCCAGTAGTTGGAAAATTTGGACTTGGTGATAGAAATGATGCTGGAGAACGAATGATAGATTTCTGCAAGACAAATCATTTGTTTATTTCAAATACCTTCT